AATGCATATTCTCTTTGGATGCTGGAGCTTTTCCTGGATATCCGACTCCGAATTCCCACAGCATTTGCCACAGAGGGGCTGGAGAGCAGACAGTGCTCTAGACCTCTCTACATTCCTCCTCTCCACTTCAGTGCCTTCCACTTTAATTTGCACTCATGAAGTATTTATGGAACTAATGAATGATTGTAACCTGGAGCTTACTCCCTGTCTTTGGCTTGCTGAGCCTGGGGGAGGATTCCACCACTGCTACCTGGTCATTGTCCTAGTTGAGAGGCACATTGATCCCTAACCATGGGAGCTGTCATCTCCCTCCTTAGCTCTATCCCATGACTTCTGAACCACCTTCAGGAGAAATTGTACTGGGGTGAATGCAGGAAGCTCCAGAGTGCAACTGATGGGAATGGAATTCCATACCAACAAAGGCCATGGGAGCCAACTGGACACACACACACACACACACACACACACACACACACACACACGTGCAAAGTCTGAGGATTTGAGCAAATGGTCTTTGAATCCTGATCTTATTCATCACTGAGCTCTCTGGAGGTCACGGCTAGAAGGCTAGTGCAGTGTGAGCTACTGTGTTGGGATATTCAGAGCTGCTCCAGCTCATTTAAGTTCTAACTGATCTTACTTTACTTTTTTCTGACATTTTGGTCACAGAACCTTCTGTTGTTCCATTCATCCTTCACATTCACCATTTCTTCCATCTTTGGAGGTGTTGTTCATTGGTTATAAGTGAAAGCCCCAGTCTTCTGGAGACAGTGGCTCTGTAGGTCTGAATGAATTCTTTTCTCTATTTCATGACACAGTTCAGCCCTCACCCCCGACTGAAGTCTGCTCTCCACCCTTTGGGCAACTTGCTGCTTGAAATGTACAAGACCATTAGTAGCAGTGGACACTTTTATCCAGGCATTAAACTGTAATCCTGCTAAATAATTTGATTCCTGTTTTACAAGGTTTGCATAGAAGAGGGGGTGGAGAATGCAGAATGTTTCCCGGTACATTTCCTTCCTTCCACCCCCAATCCTGCTAAAGATACCGCGTGCTGATTTCATGATGTGGTCGGGTTACTCCCAGGTGTTAGATTTTCCTGTGCCCCAGTTACTTTCCCAGTGGGATGGCATCTTACACATTCTGTCACCGTGATGTAAACAAGTCCCGGGGCAGAGGAGGTGCTCAATGAATTCATTCATTAACTGCTGGTTTTGTACGCTGGGTCTGAGCTCTACAGCAATGTGGCCAGACACCATGGTCCACATGGGGAGACGTCCACCTTCATTTTGTCTCTCTCTCTTTTTTGTTCCCACTTTTTGTCCCCTGAAATCTAGCTCCACTCTTAAAACTGAAATTGATTATTTTTTCTAGATGCCTGAGACTTTCATTCTGCCAAGTGAAATTGTGTGTGTGTGTGTGAGATCACACCCACACCCACCAGCTCCTACACCCCAGTGCTGTTTTCTTGTTGCTTGGTGAATGAACTATGCACCCCTCTTGCTCTTCTGAGCAATATGTCTGTGACTTCCAACCCCCCGCTTCTGTCTTCACTAATTAATGGGTGAAATTCCCAAGTCACTGTTCAGCTATTTTTACATGCTGCATAGCATGGCCACCGCAGTGAGCACAGCAGACCAGGGCGGCTCATGGAGTCCTGAGCCAGTGTGTTATGTTTGCTGCCTGTCGATCCTTCTCTTCCCTCCCCTTTAATGTTCACCTCATCTCACCTCCTCTGCAAACTGCCTTCATTCTCTTGAGGCTACAAGAGGAATCCCTTTCAGAATTTCTTCCCTTCTTTGTTTTGTATTTTAAAGAGAATAAAACCAAGCAAAATGAAACAGAATAAAGCCAATCAAAATGAAGCAATGTAAGTGACACAGGACTTCAAAACAAGATAATAGAAAATCAACAGTGGTTACCATAATGCCTCTTGTTGTCTTCAAAAATCATTGGCCATACCTTCAGACATAGTAAAAGCAAACAAAACAGAACAGAATAGAACCAATAAAACCAAAACAATGAATGCAATAAAGGACTTCAAAACAAGATAAAAATAAATCCAAAATGGCTACCATAATATATCTTGTTATCTTTGAAACAGCTACCCATGACATCGGATATAATAACTCAAACAAAACAGAATAAAACCCAGCTCAACAAAACAATGAAAATGATGCAGAACTTCCAAATGAGATAATAGAGAATTAACAATGGCTACCACCTTCAGAAGAAGATCCTCCTAGATGCTACACTGAGTATTATTATTCTCTGAATAGATGATTGAACTACCAGTTTTAGACCTGCAAAATCAGTGAAACACTAAGCACTACAAGCATTAAATTGTACTTTACCTCAATAGCTATCATCGCAGCCCTGGATCAGCCTGTCATTTATGGCTGGGGGTGGGAATGGCTCTTCTTGTCTCCTACTCTGTGCTGGCAGAGGCTGGCATCTGGCTGTCCCCCCATCGGCCCATGCATGGCACTGGTTCACAGGGAGGGCTTGCTTTTTGTTGATTTCTTGTTCTTTTCCTTCTTCCATTCTTATATGAGGGATCCTTTTAATTTTTCTCAGACCTTTCCATGTATATTAATTTTAACTCCTTAACTAGACTGTGATCCCTTTAAAGCCCACTACTTTTTATTTGCTATGTTCTCTCTAATGCTGAGTGTGTTGTCTGTCATTGCTGTAGTATGGTAGTATCCATAATGATTAATCTATAATTATGTATAATTACAATTAGGATAATTCACAGAACCTCGCATTGCATGACATGCTTTACATGCAGTTTCCTCTCTAATGAATATTTGGTATGTACTCAAGTCATTTAGGAAGACTTGCTCAATTGGTCAGCAGCTGTAGGTCTCTGGATGTCACTTCTGGGTCTCCGATTCAACTTTTTCAATTGCTGAATCAGTTAGCTTTCTGTTGCTGTGAGAATCAAAAGAAATGTTTATTTGGGTCACAATTTTAGAGGTTCCAGTCTGTGATTTATTGGCCCTGTGGCTTTGGACCATTGGCAGCACACCATGGTGGGGGTCCATGGTGGAACAAAGCCCCTCTCTTCATAGCTGGAAAGTAGAAAAAGATAAACAGGCAGAGAGGGTCTCACCCTCCCTGACACTCACAGTGACCAAAGACCTCTCCTTAAGCCAGGCCTTCTAAAGGTTCTACCATCTTCCAAAGGTACCACAGGCCAAGGGTCAAGCCTGCACCACTTGGGCCTTTGAGGGGCATTCTAGGTCCAAAGTACAGCATCTGCCAAAGGGAGAGCTGGATGCCTGCTGTTCAAGAGTCTTTCCATTTTCTACTGTCTGGTTCAATTCAATTTCAAATCACTCCTATTTGGGGACTCTATACTGTGTGCTCTGCACAGATTTGTCACTTAGGGAATGTAAAACGCACCGGGCTCAGTCCCTTCTCTTATTCCTGGCTAGTACAAAAACCAGAAGCCGGAGGTATCAGAGGGAGAGATAAGGAAGGAGCAAATGACTTCATGAGGAGAAAGTGAGGGAGGTTCCTGAGAGTCTGTTGTAATTAGAAGCTTCCTGAGGGAGGAGAGATTTCCGTTCAGTGTAAAGGAGGCCGAGTGGGAGTACAGAGACACCTCTTGGCAGGACTGGGGGCCACAACAAGCTATTCAACAATGAACCAGACAGGGCTCTGTTTAGGAGCCACCAACCAGATCTTTTGCATGTGCTCAGTTTCAAGTGGCAGCTTTAGGGATACTGATGTAACATAAAACAGGAAAATCTTGATTCCATCAGAAGAGCATGTGGAGCTCAGAGGAGTGGAGCATTTGGATATCTGAGATGATCCTCTGGTTACAGTTATTTATTTTGGGTCCCCATGAGCTGAAACTCCTCAGCTATAGGAGAGCAAGGTGGCACACGTAGGTTCCTGTCGTGCTAATCTGATTAATCACAAGTGGCCAATACTAGTGTTTAATGGTCAATATGTCTCTCCTTATCATAGAAAGGAGTTGAAGTGTCTTGCGAATATATTTTTCAGGGAACAATATAAAAATACAAGAGAGAAAATAAAAGTACAAATAACTGGGCGAGGCTGTAGGAAGAGCAAAAGATCCACAGGACGGGTTGCATCAACGTTTAAGTCACTTTCCTGTCACTGGGATACGATATTCCACACCCATGATTTAAAGGAAGAGATGTTTATTTTGGCTCCCAGGTTTTAGAGGATGCGGTTCATAGTTGGCTGGCTCAAGGCAGGAAGAGCGTGCTGGAAAGTTCTGGTGGAAGCTGCTGCTCATGCTGTGGCAGTCAGAAAGCAGAGAGTTAAGGAAGAAGCCAGGGAGAAGAGTACACCCTTCCAGGCCGCCTCTCTAGGGACTCACTTCTTCCAGCCAGCCCCCACCCCCTCGCAGCACATTTAGGGCCTCTCTGATCCAATCGCCTTCTACAATCCCACCTCTGAATAGGTAAAGCTTTTGTGGGGAGTTTGAGGATCTAAATCGAAGTGACATCTTACTAACCAATGCAATCATTCCTTTAGGGAAACATTTTATTTTTAGTATGCTAATGTAGCATCCTTCATTGTCCAAATTTTTATTCAGAGATTTATTGCGGAAAAGGATTTTAGATACTGGATAATCCTGTGTGCTTTTATTTATGTTATTTGCATTTAAGAAAGCTCATTAGAAACATAGGCTGAAAGCAAAACACCAGCCCAAGGCTTTTGGCTGAGCTTTGGAGGCCGAGTCGTTAATGTATTTGTGATCTTACTTAACACAGCCCCTGTTCTGAGGCCACAGAGCATTTCCTCTCTGTGGAAAATGTAATTGTCCTGAATGATTTCCTCCTAGGAAAGGCTTTTCTGTCTGCCTCCCCCAAAACATACTCTGCTTGCTTTGTGCCATCTGCAGGGGAGTAACCTCTGCCCCAAGTCAGTAGGGTGTTGACATCTGAGAACAGTGGAGGAGAGAGTGATAAGCAGAAGGTGACCGTCCTGCTCTGACCTGCCCTCTCTTGTACTCATAGCATGAAGCAGCATGAGCGCTACGGCCAGCTGACCCTGGTCAACTCCACGGCGGCTGACACCGGGGAATTCAGCTGCTGGGCCCAGCTCTGCAATGGCTACATCTGCCGAAGGGACGAGGCCAAAACGGGCTCTACCTACATCTTTTTTACAGGTAACTGCTTGGTGCATTTACTGCAAAATCCTTCGAATGTCCGCATTTGGCCCACGACTGGGATTTCTACTGCATGCTGAATAGCAAATGATAGTAAGGCACTATTTAGGGTCTGGGCTAAATGCTTTCCATCCATTACATCATGTAAGTCATACAACGCTCAGAGTAAGTATAGACATCATTTTTTCCCACATGGGAAAGCTGAGGTTTAGAGAGATTAAATCCCAAAGACCACACAGCAAGAAGTGGTGGTGCCAGGATTTGAACACAGAACTGATTCTAAGATCTGTAACTGTACTGTTCATTGTGGAAACCACTAGACACATTTCAAGTGTGCAGTGGTGATGTGTATCTAGTGGCTGTGGTCCTGAACAGCACAGAGAACATCTCCCTCTCAGACAGTTCCATTGGATAGTACTGATCTTTCTGGAACCTCCATAGTCACAGGGATTTTGTTAAAACATCCTGGTATTCATTTGTATGAGTAGTTCGAGCTGAGCATAGGGGCAGGCTTCTCAAATTATGTGTGCTTCTTGGCTTTCGTCTCAGTCCCTGAATTAGGGAGCCTGCCAATCCACAAGTCCCAGTTTCCCTCTGCAGTGGCAATTGAGCATTTATAAGACAGAGCTTGCGTTTTTGAGGGAACACATGGCAGGTCTCCTTCTGCTGCCTGCCTGCATACCTACCCACAGCCTCCTTCCTCTGCAGATTCCCTCAACTCTGAAGTCAGGGGGATAAAGTTCAGCAAGGTTCAGAGGTCAGGAACAGTGTTTAGGAATCTTGCAAATTCTACTTCCTGGTACTGGTGTCCAGGGCATTTCAGAAGAAGCTGGGATCCTTTCTGGGCTTCTGGGGACAAGTTTTATGAGTTCTATCTTGAATCCACATGCCTTTCAGACATTGGTGTGTGTGTGTGTGTATTCCACATGCTAGGCAAGAACATATGCTTTTCTACCATCGAGCTCCATCTCCAGCTCCAGATCTAGGGTGACTTATACATTTGGTCCAAATGATCCTATGCCCTTGCCATTAATTAACGCTTTGATAACCTCTCATGTATTTTCTGTATCTGTCCAAATTGGCCCTTTCCAGCTGATGCATTATCAACACGTGCTATAATTCAGAAACACCAATTTCTCACTTTAATTTCTACAGCATCACTAGGAAATATATAAAAGCAATTTTTATCACCTGTGTTATACAAATAATAATGCTGATTCTGATACTCAAAAAGGCAAGGTGGCTTGCCCAGTTTTCTGTGACTTACAGTGTCAGAATAAGGAATCAAACTTTTTCTGACCCAGGATCCAGTGCAGCCACTGCTTGAACTCTCTCCAGGACAAAGCATTAAGCAGATTGTAATTGGACAGACAATAGCTGGAACTGTTAGGGGACTTGTTCTCACTGCTCACAGGCAATCCCTTTGGACCCTCATTTTGGAATATGCTACACAGAACTGCTCATGTACCCTCTATATGACACACTGCAGAGCAACAGGAGGAAAGGAAACCAGATAACACAAGTACGAGCCATTATCCCAAACAAGGGTGGATGCCGTATGTCAAACTGCTCAATAAAGATTTTTTGCCAAGATTAGCACTATTGTGTCTTCTCAAACTGGTTCAGGTTTTGGACTGAAGGCTTTATTTGAGCAGAATAGTCCATCAGATTTATGGATTCTCTTTGAATTTTGTTGGTAGGTCTCTTTTTTTAATTTGCTGATATCTTTTTTGTGAACCAAAGGAAGGCTAAAACAGATTCACTTTGACTTTAAAGAAACCAGGCCAAGGCAGGTGTAGCGGCACATGCCTGAAATCCCAGGGAGGCAGAGGCAAGAGGATTGCCAAGAGTTTAAAGCTAGCCTAGGCTGTGCTGTGAGTTCAAGGCCAGCCTGAATCACATGAGACTCTACCTCAAAAAACAAAATAAAACCCAGGTCAAAAGCAGAAGTGATCAAATATGTTGTGTCTTGTGTTTAATTCCTCAACACTAAGCTAAATGTCCTGGTGTACTTTCACAGTAGGGTTTGGCAGTTCATCCTTCCAGCTGTCGATGGATTTGGGGAACCCAGATGGGCAGTTACAGAAGCCAAGCTTCCATTGCTGGCTCTGAATTCTTTCAGAGCATATGCTTCTCAGCCATGCGTGTAGAGAACATTTGCCATTCATTCCTAGAGTTTGGTTGAAAACACTGGGAAGCTTCTCTTGGGGGACTAAGTTGTTACTAAGTTGTACCATGTTTAAGTGATGGCCATATATATTTCCTCTTCATCTTTATCCAGAAGGCTCTTGGAGAGGTTCCTTTTCCCACTTCCCATTCCTATTACATACATAAAGGAAAACATTCAGATCCTCAGTATACAGCTAGTAAGTTATCCTCAGGGAGCAGATGCATGTGACTAACACCCTTATGATCAAGGCTGAGATTTAATACAGGAAGGAGGGCTCTCTTAGAATGCAAGGCTTGAACAATTATTCTCATATGTAGGCAAACTACATTAGTAAATACTTTATTAGATTTTGAGTTTTCCATATTGTGGATATTAGTTTATAGATTTTTTGTTTATAAACTATTAACCTTCATTTTTTGAAATGTAAAATCCCATGTGTTTAGTAAAAAAATAACAATATGTTACATGAATAAGCACATTTGCAGGAGATATATTTTACCTATAATTTAAAAAATGAAGTTCAGCACACTTTTTCTGTTGTAGATGAAAGTCACTCCATGTTTGAAAGGCAGTAGATTCAGGATGTAGCCAGTACAGTGTGAGTGTGTGTGTGTGTGTGTGTGTGTGTGTGTGTGTGTGTGTGTAGGGGTCAGTGGGGAGAGAAACTAAGGCCTTGCCCATACTAAACAAGCAGTTTACCACTCAGTTAAACCTCCAGCTCTTATTTTAAAGCAACTGGTGGAATCACTTATTTCAAAGCACATATCATAGTACAAGAGGTAAGGTATTATTTTAGTGGTCTGAAATTCAAATTGTTTAATTCTTCTGGCTTGGCCCATTGATTCTAGTTATAAGTCCTTAAACCAGGATATACCTCTGTAATCTTATAATCAGTTGTAAAGTCTTTTAGTGTTGTTGCTAAAAAGATGTCTTCAATATTATCTACTCCAGATTCTCCTCTTTACAAATGCGGAAGTCGTAGCACAGAGAAATAAAGTAACACATCCCAGGCCATGAACGCAAGGATGTTAGGTATAACAGAAAATACCTCTTGTCAAATTCTGAAAGTAAAATTATCATCAAGTAGCTTGAATCATTCAAGCTGATTTGCGGCCTGGCAGTGATGGAGACTCTTTGAGCTGCAACAAACTGTTTACTAATAGTAAAGTCAAGAGGAAGGTCTTCCATGCTAGTGAACTTGGTTCTAGCAGCAAAAATATTTTGGCTCATGGAGACACTTGCTGTTGTTTCCAGGAATCCTGTGACTAACCCAAAACATCATACAGTGGTGACATAGAAAGCTAGTGGAGGAGAAATCTAAGAAAAATTACTTGTTTCAGAAACATTGCAAGGGAAACAGAAGAAACACTTTAACAAGTATCCAGTGTTGTGATTAGCTCTGAAAATTTCTCTTAGTGGTTTTGGAATATTCCCTCATAGAATGATCCAGAAGATAAGGGTTTAATGTGCTATGCCAAGTAAGCAAAACACATGCATGCACAGACACACAGCCATACACAACAAGTATACCCCAGATCCTTGATGAAGTCTAAAGGGTCGTATGGGTAAGCCAGTCCTTTTTTCTCCCATTTCTTTTTATTTTATTTTTTATTTTAAAGAGAATAAAACAAAACAGAATAAAGCAAATCAAACAATGCAAGCAACACAGGACTTCAAAACAAGTCAACAGGATATCAACAATGGCTACCATAATGTCTCTCATTTTCTTCAAAGTAGCTGTTCATACTGTCACAGGATAAAAATGCCACCATCTAGGGTTTCAAGGACCTGACAGAATACATTTCAGAGGGAAGATGGGAGATAAGAGGCTGGCTGATGGTTCCCAGGCAAGTAGCCAGGCAGAGACTGGACCTGGGGACCAGCAGGTTCCTTCCTATTTCTGGCCCACTTCTTTACTCTGTCTTGGGCAGGCAGTAGGTCTTCTGAGCTGAGAATGAGGCAGGGTGAGAACACAGATGCTGTCACTGTGCTGGGCCTACCAGCAGGACTCCATATGCTGGGAAGTGTCTCCCAGTTGGCAGTTATGAACTACAGATAAGGGGCTAATTTCTCTACATAAAAGCAGGAATTGTTCCAACGTCTAAAACTGCTTTTTTTTTTTTTTTTTTTGAGACAAAGTTTCACTATGTAGTTCAGGCTGGTCTTGAGCTCACTTTGTAGTCCAGGCTGGTCTTGAACTTGCAACAATTCTCCTGCATTAGCCTCCCAAGTTCTGGGATTATAAACTTGTACCATCATTCTGGCTTTGAAGACTGCTCTTAACAGGAAGAAGACAGTCTTCTTCCTCAGTTTGGTGATCTATGGTCTGATTTGGGTTTGAACCAAGACCTTTTTTGTTTCTTACAAGATGATATGTTAGTCAGCTTTGTGTCACAAAAAAATAAAATAAAATAAAATTTAAAAAAAAAACCCTGAGACAATTAACTTATCAAGAGAAAAGGTTTATTTTGGCTCACAGTTTTGGAAATTCCAGTCCATGAGCAATTGGCCCATCTCATTGGGCCTGTAGCAAGGCAGCACATCATGGCAGGATCACACAGTGAAGCAGAACCACTCACCTCATGGCCAGGAAGGAAAAAAAATAGGGACCTCACAATCCCCTCTTAGATCACAGGCCAGGACCTCCCACTAAACCCCAACTCCTAAAGGGCTTAACACCTCCCAACGGTGCTACAGTGGGGACCAAGCCTTTAACATGTAGACTTCTCGGGGACCTCCAATAATAAAGTCTGTAGCAAAAGTAAAATCATTCTTCCAAAAAAATGGAAGGCCTAAAGAAGTCAGCTTTCTCTGTTTTTGTAAGGAGCCAGTAGTCTGAGTTCACTGCAAGTCCTCTCATCTTTGTGCACAAGTGTTCAGAATCCTTAAGGAGCACTTAACGAATGTCTCCAGAGTAAATGAGACTGTGTCTTTCCATTTGCAGAAAAAGGAGAACTTTTTGTACCTTCTTCCAGTTATTTTGATGTTGTCTACCTGAACCCGGACAGACAGGCTGTGGTTCCTTGTCGAGTAACTGTGTTGTCAGCCAAAGTCACGCTACATAGGGAGTTCCCTGCCAAGGAAATCCCAGCCAATGGAACAGACATTATTTATGACTTGAAAAGAGGCTTTGTGTATCTGCACCCTCATTCTGACCACCAGGGGGTGGTCTACTGCAAGGCAGAGGCTGGGGGCAAGTCTCAGATCTCCATCAAGTACCAACTGCTCTACGTGGAAGGTAAGCCTGCTATTCCCCATGCCTGGATTTTAGTTAGTTCCTATGAGTCCCTATCAGGAACTGCTATTCTGTTGTGGATGAAAATACAGAGCATAGAATGCTGTTCTGATGGGCTTCCCTATTGAATGACCACTTCTAGAATGTTCTGCATTCTTGCCCTGGCTCTAACCCAACTCTCCCCTATTGCTTTTCTCCAGATTCTCCCACCCGTGGCTCTGACCCTGCCTCTGTGTTTGATCAGCCCCTGTATCGCCAGCCTCCCCTTAGCAATCCTCCCAACCTCCTTGTGCTAACCACAGTCCTCTCTGTTTCCTTGATGGCAGAGCAAGCGGTAGCCAGCCAGTCAGCTCTGGCCTCCTGGTAGCCCCCAAGTCCCCCAAGACCCTTCATCCCTGAGTTAGTGGCACAGGGGCAGGCTGGTGAGTGGATCCCTCCCTGGGGGCTTCTCTCTTCTTTGACTTTCTGGAGGAGAACCTCCTCCCAATGCCCCGGAGAGGAGAGGGGACGCCCTGTAGTCCCCCCAGGATGACCCTCCTCTCTGAGAACTCTTCCCTGGTGAGCGGGAGTGGTCTGGGAGTGGGGTACAGTCTTTGCCACTGCTCTGGTGGTTCTCAGGCAGCCCTGTGGAGAGACGCATGTCCCAAAGCTAGTCATTCTCTGAAGTTACAATTTGGGCTCTTTAATGCTTCCTGTCCCCAGCTGTGAGCCTTATCCTGTAGGAATGGTCACTCCATGTTTCCGAGTAGCTCACAAACCGTCTTGGCCACCCTCAGCCCTACATGAAAGCCATCTCTCTCTCGTGCAGGTCAGACTCCCTGAAGCAGCTGTGCTCCCCGGCTCTACATCCTTCCTCCCAACACTCCTCGGCCCACTCCCATTAGCTCCCTCCCCTGTGCTCCTCCAGGACAGTTTTGTCAAGACTGCAGGGACGCTAGTGCTGTTAAACCCAGCGGGCAATGTCTGTCCTTATCCAACCAGAGTCCGCCACCCCTGTATCAAACTCTCAGCTCCACTCTGTCCTGCTCATCCTCCTGCCAGCTCTCTCATCCTCCCTTGTCAGCCTTTGCCCCGTACTCTTACATGTGGGGCTCCCCAAGGTGCCCTTTTTCACTTCCTGAACTTTTCCTAGACAGCCGCATCCATCTCCGTAACTTCACTTCTTATCTGTACATTAATGGCTCCTGAGTATCTGGGTTCCAGAGCCAGAAGCACCAAGTTTATGTGTCGTTATGTCTGCCTTGAGGTGCTCCACCGGCCATGCAGCCCCACAGGCCCATCAGCATTGCTCCCCCAGGCCTGGATCTCCTGCATTCTCTGCCTCAGTGACAGCGCACTGGCCAGTGTCCTTCTCCTCCTGTCCTTTATTCTTCCTCTCATTGAATTGTTTTCAGATCCTATGGTTTCACTCCATCAGTTTCGTAACTTGAAAAGCGTTCAAGTTTTCACCTATTTCTAGGACAAATATGATTACCTTTCTAAGAGTGTCCTCTTTCTCCTTCCTTGATTCATTTTCCACACCGTTATTGATTATAATTCTAACGAAGCTGTCCCGCAGGTTCCCATCTCTCCCAGACCACAGTCGCGATCCTTCACGCGGCCTGACAGGCCACACGTGCCCTGCCCAGCTCTGTCCTCCCCCGCCGCCTGGTCCAACTCCTCTTCTTCCCCAGGCTGCCTACATCTCACCTTATGGGCGTGCACCCAAGCATTTCTGTCTGCCCTTCCCCCATCCAAGTCTTTTAAGCCCCCCACCCTGAGATTTTAGTCCAGACTTTGCTTCCTTAAGGAAGCCTTTCCTGGCTCAGACCATTCTGAACTTTCAGAACACTCTGGGCTTCTCCTCTATGGCTCTTAACACAGTCAAAGTTTTCAACAAAACGCACAATGACTTGCTTAGTGGTCCCTCCACTGGAATGTACACTCAGAGGACAGAGTCCACTTCTGTCTTGCTGGCTTCTGTGATTCCAGCTTCTATCACATTGCTTTGCTCAAGACCACGATGAAAACTACTTGTGAATGAGGAAACAACAAAGAAATGTGTTTCTGAAATGCTGTGAAGTAAATGCACTGCAAACACAAGTAGCACTAGTGCCCTTCTTGGAAACTTCTTTCTCTTTTCTTACAGTATTTCTTTTTTTTTTTTTAATTTTATTTAAGGAGGAAAAAAAAGCAGAGAAAGGGTACAAGTTATACAGATTTATAGAAAAAAATAAACAGTAGGAAATCACTAGTTAATGGATTACATATTGTCATCTTAGAAATAATTGTTCAAGTCACAAAATTAAAGCTTGTAAAGTGGACATACCAACAGTGAGACTGCAGACAGTTCTGTTCAGTGATCCAATAAAACTCAGTGATATCATTTTCTATCTTATACACTTAAATATGCATGCAGTTATATCATTTAGAGCACTTTCTTTTCCTCTCTTTTGTACAATGACAATTACACATTTTGGGTTTTGTTCCTCCCACAGTTCTTATTACTTTTTTGGAAGGGAGTAGAACCAAATGTGACCTAATAGAACCGAGTCAATCAAATCAAAAGGGTGGACATAATAGATAATGTAAAAGCATAATACAAGGTGATCAATAATGGTTACCATAATGCCTCCTGCTATCTCTAATAGAATTGCCTATATCATCAGTTATAACAAAATTGAACAAAACAGTAAAGAACAAAACTGACAAAACCAAAACATTGGAGACATTATAGATCTTCGAAAGTAGATAAAAGTCAACGAGAATGGGCGTCATAATGAATCTCACTATCTTCACAGCTGTTGCCTAAACTTTCAAACCTGGTACTATCAAGCAAAACAGAATAGGGGGACATCAGTGAAAAACAAGATGGTGAGAGTAATACAGGGCTTTAAATCAAGATAATGGAAAGTCAAAGTGGGTTACTATAATATATCCTGCTATTTTTTATTTATTTTTCCCTTAATTAAAAGGATAAAAATAAAAAATAATGAAGTGGAGATTGAGATAAAAGAGGGCATAACAGCAAAACAGCGCAGATCAAAACATAACCATTTAAGCAGAATAGTGTTTCACCACAAGATAATCCTGACATAAAAGTAGTTACCATAGCATCTCTTTCCTTGAAATCTTTGAGTATAACTTCATATACTGTAGCATCAAATATATCAAAACAATGTAAAACCATTTAAGAGAATGACAGCATTACAGGGTATTTAGAATCAACTAACAGAAAATGAACAATGGTTTCTGTATAATCTCCTTGTCTTTAAAAGTTTTTGCTTATACTATCATAAATAATAAAATCCAATAAGATACAACCTGTTTAGACCAATGGAGACAGAAGAACAAAAGCTTGATGAGACTTCAAAACAAGATGATACTAAATCAGTATTACCTATTATTAAGATGTCATTTTCTCCAAAATAGCTGTTCCTATCATCCAATCTTCTCTGCCTCATTTCTGTTGAGCTCTTTTTCTGTCATTAGTTGTCAGTTTGTCTTCTTCATTTTGTTTTCTGCTCCATTCATTGTGGCCTCTCTGCCACTATTTCTGGATTCTTTGTATTTTTCTTTTTTAGAATATCCTGCAGTAGTCTCTGTAAAGTTGAATTGGTGGTTGCAAATTCCCCTAGTTCCTCTTTATCCTGGAAACACCTTGTTTTTCCATCAATTTCCAGGGATAGTTGTGCAGGATATCTCAATCTTGGCTGGAGATTATTATCTTTCAAAGCTTGAATTATTTCCCCCCATGCTCTTCATGATTTGATGGTTTGTGCAGAGAAATCTGCTGTAATTCTGATGGGTGTTCCCTTGTAAGTGGTCTGTTTCTTATCTCTGACAGCTTTTAATATTCTGTTCTTGTATTGAATTTCTGGAATTTTTATTATTATATGCCTGGGTGTTGCTCTGTTTGGATTGTAGCTGGCTGGGGTCCTGTATGCCTCATACATCTGAGTATCTTTACCTTTTGCTAAATTAGGAAAATTCTCCTGGATTATTTCTGTGAGTAGCTTTTGTATCTCATTTGTTTGTGTCCCTACTTCTTCTTTTATGTTCTTAATTCTTAAGTTATGGATCCTCTTATCATCTTCTAGTCTTTGTATTATTGCTGTTTGTTTCTTTGTTACTTTTAAGAAGTTTTTCATTTCATTCTCTCATATTGCAAATCTGCCCTCCAGTTCAGACAGTCTGTCCTTAGTTTCTTTCAAGCTGTTATGCCAGTTTTCGATAGAGTTTTTAGTTTCCTGGTAGTCTCTTTGAACCTGCTTCACGTATTCTATGCTTTCTCTATTTTCTCCATCAAACAATTCTCCCCTCTTTTTCTGTTCTTCCATTCCACCATCCGTTTTTTTCTTGGGTGGTGCTTAGCATTTCTCTAACTATTCTGCTTATTTCTAGCTTCAGGTCATTAATAACTTCATTCCTGAACTGATCTATGAGACTCTCTAGATGGCGCTTTATGTCTATTGGTGTGGTGTCTGCTATTGCCTGTTTCTCAGGATTGGGGGCTGAGGAGCCTTTCTTGTTGCTGCCTCTTCCCATATTCTTTGTTCCTTATATATGCAAGCGTATATAGGAGGCCCAGCTTCCCTCTCTGTCAGCCACAGCCTGATCGAATTGCGCCGGCTAGGTGTTCCTGCCCACCGCAGCACACCAGGAAATTGTAGACCAGGCAGCCTATGCGGGCCTACCCCTCCAGGCCACACTCAGGCTCTGGGATCTGGGTTGTGCTAGCCTACTGGGTCTCCACCAGCAGCGTCACGTAGGCTAGGCACTTCTCACCAATCCCCCTTGAGAGGGGGATACGTGGCTGAAGTTGCTGCAACGCCCCGCTCCCGCAAGTCTGCCCAGTCCCAGAATGTCTTCCGCTGGAGTCTCATTAAACTGTGGGAGAGTGTCAGTTTCTCTCACTCACCGCAAGTCAATGCACAGCTCCCCGCCCGTCCTGTTTTCAACTCCATTCACCGATTCCCGTTCTCAGAGCTCCCGCGCGTCTCTCTCCCTGCCAAGCTGATGTAGACGCAGCTGCCACACGTTGGGAAACCCTAATCGTGGCTTCCAATGGCGCGGGCTCCAGCCTCCACACTGAGGCCCCTCTGCTCCTGTTCTAGCACCAGGACTGCATTCCAAGTTGGTTTCTCTCAGCCCAGTTCATTCCTGGGTCAGCAGAGCATATCTCCACCTGCTTATGACTCCTTGCTCCGCACCATTCCTGAATTCTAAGCCGAGTCTTTCGGAGAGCCTCCGTAGCTGCTGCTATCTGTCCGCCATGTTCTCCCGGAAGTGAAACATCTTTCTAACCCATGTATTTACCCGAGACTTCTCTATTTTCTGAGAAACGACAGCCACACCATATCTGTCCCTGCCACCCCTTCTGATTCCACCAGCCAGCTGCCTTTGTCACGTTCTTCTTGCTCTTTCCTCAAGCACCTCTCTCCCCATCACCATTTTGTTCACGTGACCCCTGGCCAGCCTGTTAGCCTCCTGCCTGACTGTAAGCACAGTAGCCTTGGAGCCATGGATGACCACCCCGGGGATCATCTGAGACTGGGACAGAGGCAGCTTCAAAGGAAACCAAAAGTAATGTGCTAACACTGCCCTTGTGTTGGTTGGGAAGCTCTAAGATGTTACATCTTTCTCCAAAGAGAAGAATTCATGTGTAGATTGTCTTTAGTGTCGTACTCATGGATCTCATCTCACACTCCCTATCTCCTGCTCACTTCCAGTCCCCAGTGGTCCCCCATCAACCACCATCCTGGCCTCCTCCAACAAAGTGAGGGGTGGGGATGACATCAGTGTGCTGTGCACTGTCCTAGGGGAGCCCGATGTCGAAGTGGAATTCAGGTGGATCTTTCCAGGGCAGAAGGTAAGTACCACACCTGGTCTCAGGCTGCCTTTTAAAGTCCCTTTTGTACCCATCCAGTGCAAGTAATGTGTGGGGCTCTGGCAGGGGTCAGGGCTTGTTTTCTCTAAGACAGTGGTGATGAACTAATGGCGTGTGTGCCGCAGTGGGCTGTTGCCACTGAAAGCCCTAGCAGGTTCACCATTACTGGTCTAAGATATTTCATTATGTTTACAAATGTTTACCCAATATACACTCTTTGTATGTAGTTTTTGCTTTCTTAACCCCTAATTAAGAAGAGATAGTGGCCTGAAAAAGGAAGAGGGCTCAGTCTTCAGTCTGATCTACTAGGAGCAAATCTGTGTCTTCACACTGATCTCCAAGCTATGCCCTGTGATGGGAGCTCTGAGTGGAGGCCCAGTCAAAAAGGTGCTGTGAAGCCAGAGGTCATTTAAAAATAGACTTTCCATAAAAGCAACTATGGCACATTCAGCCTTTGTGCATGTTCTGCTCGCTGAAATAAACAGCTGTGCTACCAACATGGAATAATCCTGCTGCTGCCAGAAGAGATTTCACTTCTCAGTGGCCAATCTACTTCTGACCTGAGAGTGGTAATGACTGGGAAATAGCTCTCCCTGAAGAGTAATATTTTTCAGTGCTCTAGTACGAGGTAATTATTATTAAAAAGTGTTGCCACATTGGGAAGACATTGATTTCCAAGAGGGCTGGTATTTTTTTACGTTGTCAATTTCTATGAGCAGAAAATATTAGCTTAGTAATATTAGTATTAAGTGGATTTAGAAAACACTGTATTTTCATCACCAAATTTGGCAAAAGTATCTCAAAAGTGAACATCTTCTTCTAGAAAGGCATGTCATATCTTCTAAGGCATCATTTTATCCAGTTTTCTCCCTCTGGAGTCCCATGGCACATATGACTAATTGTACTTGTCCCAAGGCTGAGCAACTGGGAGCTCTTCTTCATTTACAGTGAGTGGTTTGAGCTTCTGATTTTAACTTCTGTGAATGAGAACCACTTGGGGAGATGTCAGTGAACAATATAAAGATGGAAGCAGTGGAAAACTTGGTCTGTTTTTGTGCTCAATACCAGTTCCATTTAGAGTTCCAAAAGAATATATCTTAAGTATAAGCTTACTGAAGAAAATGGCAGAAAGAAATCACCAAACAGTATCCTGAAATTTGAGACTCCACTTGGAAAAAATGCAGCCTTGAGTGATTACACAGTGTAAAAGCTTCCAGAGCCCAGAGCGCTGCATACCAAATACATAAAGCTCATGCATAAGTATGAGCTTTGCACTTTGAAAGGAACTGTGTGTTGGGTGCGTGGGAGCTATGCACAGCAGCTTGTTGCTCCTGCAGCTTGTCTGTGTTGCTGTCATTAAACAGGATGAAAGGCCTGTAGCAATTCAAGATACTTGGAGGCTGATCCACAGAGGACTCGGACACACCACAAGAATCTCTCAGAGCGTCCTCACGGTGGAAGACTTTGAGACCATTGATGCGGGGTATTACATCTGTACTGCTCAGAATCCCCGAGGACAGACTACAGTAGCTACCACTGTTGAGTTTTCCTGACTTGGAAAGTGAAATATTGCAAACTGATGGAAAGCCCATTCGTATACACAGTCAGCCTGGGCTTCTTATTAATGCTTTGCCAGAGGCTGATTGATGCCAAGTGGCAACTTCTGCCAGTGAGTCAGACCCACACATCCAAACTAAAAGGAAGTCACCCATTTTTTATTAATAGAAGTGTTAACTTTTCTAACAGAAAGCATGTATTTAGACTGCTTACCTATGTCCATGTTTTTTCTACTTAAAAAGCATATACACTGACAACTTTAATCATTTCTATTAAATGAGCAAAGTTTTGTAAAAAAAAAAAATGGAGTTAAGTGCTTGTTTTCTAAATTGCCTTGAAAGACATCAAGAAAGACTTGCTGGCAGCAATAGCTGAGTCAATGCATAGGGTTCTCTTTGCTGTAACAATCCCACTACATCAGGTGTTTTAAATGAGTTACTATTACATAGTTCAACTACTTATCTACAAGTTGTGACCTAAGATTCAAACACTGACATAACACTTTCCATCAGTAGCAACTTTAAAGCTTATGTGAGTCATTTTACAAAGGTTTCAAAAAAATCAAACATTTAATTCTTCGTATGTAAAGTTCTAATTTTAGACTATCCAGTAAAAACTAGAACATTTTAGTTTAACTTTTAACATAAAATAAAGAAATATTTAACTTTTTAAAATGGTGTCAAAAATTTACTTGAGAAGTAAAGGGGTAAGGGAAAAGTAGGCTCTACAGAACGAACGTGGGCCAAACGAAACAGGAAGGGAGAAAAAGCAAAACTAAAAGTCCATCTGGTCTAGAAGACACAAAGAGGGCCACCATGAAGAGTCATGACAGCCAAGAAGTATTTAACATTGTCTAGACTCTGCCTCAGAAGTATTTAGACAATAGCTTATTAAAACCGCCAAAATTTATTTTTCAAGTACACATCTTTAAATTTTAAAAAGTTCAGCTCTAACTTGAGCTGTGACCCAGAATTCAACCCATGACGAATTTCGTGGTTTCCCTGGAAGTTCCTGTGAATGGCTTAGGAGACTTGCTCTTAATTACTCCGCTATACACCAAGCAACACTTTGCAAAGTAAAATAGGTCAGAGGCTGCGATTCTTACATTGAATATTCCAGCATCATTTATTTGATCAAAATAAAATACACTTTCCATCACTACAAACAGCACAGCTACCATTGTTTACACATTTGTATTTTTATGACGTGCCAACATTTTGCATCCTGTGTGAAACATTTGGTTTAAACACATCTTAAAAATTCTCTATTTTGTTCCCTGTCTTCTTCCTTGTCTCCCACCCTCTGAGAACATTTTTACTAATTACTGTAAGGTTTATTTCCTAGACACCTAAACGGTATGGAGAATAGCAGGGAGTAGCGAGAGATTATTATGTAGAGGGGATGAATGGCAAACCCAACTTTGGCTAATGTCACTGAGAACAACGCAGACGTGAGAGCAGACGTATCCCAGGAGCCGGCAGTGAATCTATGTCCCCACTTATCAGAAGCAAACATGGAAGGTTACATACGTGATAAACTATCAGAGGTTAAAGACATCCAACACAATCACTAATTAAAATAAACATGCATGATGAATACTAGCTGCCCATGTAACGCACATGTAGCTGCTAACTCAAATACCCACATCTAATTTCCTAGTCTGTTCTTACTATACTGACATCACAGGATTGACACATGCAGGGAGGGGAGGAAAAGCCACAGTCGTCCTCCTGTCTTCCAGAGTGTAAAACTGAGTGTGGTGATAAGTTGTGAAAACAAGTTCAAACATAACTGGTAGAGTTGTCAAGCCACATTTTCCACTTGTCAGGTGGCTATTCTGCTAGCTTTCTAAAGGACAGAGCGCTCAAAGGGTGCCCTCAAACTAGCAAAGTCTTCCCAGGCTCTTTTATTCTATTAACCACAGCATTATTGGCTTAAGGTGCTTCTACTTATCAGTATGTGCTGACTCCTATCTTTCTTAGTTCCAGCCAGGAACTTTTTCTCATTTTATGGTAAGGGTTTCCAAAATTTGTGTATCAGATCCAGGTCTCAGTTTATCTGGAAAATGAGTTCAGCACCTTGGAAATGAGCTGGCTCTGGAAAGCATAGATGGGAGGTAGAGGGTTTTGTGGCTCTGGATGGCAAAGAAAGGAAAGGGAGAAATAGGGATTACAGGAGAGAGGAGAAGAGTCTACATCTGAAAGCGTAGTTTAGCTCAAGGTAAAAAAACATAAGGCAGAACAAACCATTGGCATTGCGGTTTTTCTTTATACATAAACAGAAATCTTAGGATTCTGTATATTCTCATTGCCTGAGAAATGGGTCATCGTATAGTGTTAGGATTATGTAACCCACAGATAAGTCTACCTAGTTTAAACTGATGGGGGTGAACACTGAAAAACTCCCAACAAGTTACTCCAAAAAGACAGAGAAAACATACAGATACCAACAAGCCAAAGCTTTCCCCATCATACCCTCTCTCCGCTGGGTCACAGGGCTGGTAGAGGTGGTGGTAGAGAATTGTAATTTAAAGAACTATTGCTTTTTCTTCTATGGCTTTTGTCACAATCTGTACACTGACTATGATCTGATTTAGTACATACCCAGATATAGTGAGCTTTTGACTTTTATCCTGAAGTAAAGAAGACACATGACACTCTCACATCTGTTTCACTCATATACCCCACCCACAGCCAGACCGAAATAAAAATCACAAGAAGGTGTCTGTGAAGAATGTTATAAAGGTTATAAATCTTCATAGGGCCCTGAGAGTTTTTCCCCTTAAGCTTAGGTGAAAAAGGCAATGAACAAGATTCTCTCGTTCCTTAAGTGCTTTGTGCAACGAGTTCCATATTGATTCTGAATCTTTTTTTAGAGGAATCTTTTGGACCAAGTCAAAAGTCTTCCTCCAGAGTTCCAGTCTCCTAGGTAGCCGGTTTTGGTGGTAGCCGCATTCCAGTTATCCTGCAGAAATTCACAGGAGCTAATGTAGCTCTTGCTCCCACGATGGTCATTAGGGTTGGTCCTGCAGACCTGCATCCAACTGCCCGCCCAGAGTCTCCCGGCTTCCAGGAAGCGTCATCTGGGCGACACGTTAGGGCTAGGGAAGGAGCCCGAATTCCTGGGTGACTGAAAGGGGATGGCTGAGGACGTGGGGGATCTCTTGGGGCTGCACAAGTCCCCGTTGTGCAGCTTCCACAGCAGTTCCTCATTCTCCATGGAGAGTCGCTTGTTGACTTTTGACTCCTTCTCCAGCGACTCCTGCAGCACAGCCTGCTCCGTGGAAAGTTGCCTTGAACACAACAAGGAGCCAGAAACCATGTGAACTTAAGTTAAAAACTTAACTTGAAAAACTTTACCATCTTAAATTTGAAAGTCCAAAATGCCAATGGGAGAAAATAGAATCCCTTAGAAGGTCACTGGTATTAAAACTGCCTAAGCCCAGCCAGATGCTAAACCCAAATACTTGAGGCATAAGCCTGAGCAAGGAAGGAGACAAAACAGAAAAAAAACACACACAAAAAACTGCACCTTTGGGACAATTTGTAGTAGTGTGTGGCACTTTCACAGGGACACCACAGGTTTTATGACTCCCTTATATTTGGGCCTGCTTTCTTTTTTTAAAGATTATTGACTGGTATTGGGGTGCTCTGTCTGAGCCACACCCCTGGGACAGGGATATTTTCTGTTTTGTGTTGCTCCTTTTCTGAATGCATTCACAGTCAGAAAGCCAGAGGAGGTTTCCTCGCTGAGGCCTCTGTTTGGTCCAGGCCACTTTGATAAAAGCATGAACAGATGTCATCATATTTGGAAGTTAGTACTTTTTCAGCCACTTGCTTTGATTACATTTCCCGGAGGTACATGGTGGAGGAGCACGGTATGAAACTAACCCATCAGGAGCAGGTTAGGGAAAATGGGACGGGTTTATTTTTACCTTGAGATTGCCATGTGCTTGTCCATCCGAGCTTTTAATTCCTCATTCTCCTGCTGGAATCGCTTCAATTTGTCAACCAGTGCTGTGTTGTTGTCCACCTTGGCATAAAGAAAAATTCCGACCTCTATTATTCAGTAGGAAAAAAATGCAATTCCTTTCTTTCTTAAGATATATTCTTGACACAAGCACACTTGGAAGAGATTTAATGAGGGAAATTTAAAAGCACATTGAGATTTTTATACCCTAACACACAACAACAACAAAACAGTCTTAAAGCAGCAACATGGAATGAATTGGTATATATTCAAGAAGAATGGCAGGCACTGAAAAGCAGACACACCCAGGTCACAGTTTTAGAATCCCCTCTGAGAACTGGCACTCTACCTGGGTGACCCCAGGCACTGGGTCCATTTTTTTTTTTTTTTAGGTGATACAGCAAATCATGTAGCACAGCAGTCCGTTTGTCACAGCTGTGACATCTTCCTGAGGTGAGTTTTTTTGGGGAAAAAAAATAAACCCCAATAAACAACAACTCCCATGAAAACTCCTAGGCCAACAGTTCATGGTTCTTGGCCACATTTAGTAAGACCTTGTACACATTTTGGATTTCAGGGTTACTCTTAAGTATCTACCTCTGACCATACACCCAAAGATACAAGGTAACAAAGTCCCACAGAGATCAAACAAAAGGAACACTAGGGAAGGCTGCTCTCCTGCTCAGTGCAAAACACCTGTTTTCCTGCTCACACTACACTTTCAAGGGGAGCAATTTGATCAGCTGAGAGCTAACGGATAAGATCCCTGAAGATATTTAATCACTGACATGATGGAGGGTTGATTCCATGCCGGCTCACTTTCTAAAGGCACGATTTATTACTTAGGAGGCAACACTGCAGCTTGGTCAGAATTAATCCTAAGGTGCTGTCATTGCACTATTACGATTACTCTGATTAAAGTGCCTAATTCAGATGTCTATTATTTTAAAGACATTCTAATATCCACAAATGCTCAGGGCTAGCTGTTCAGGTGAAACACCATTCCAGAAAACGAGTCTAGAATAAAAGAATCAGGGACTGTGAAACGCTCAGCAACTGTACAGGAATTACAAATAAAAACATGAAGTGGGAAAAGCTGAAATTACAGACTAGGTGATGACTGACTTTAAATACTATCGGGCCCAGCCTTTCATAGTAAAATAAGGGAAATGAAAATATCACAGTGCTAATTACTGACAGAGTTAGCGCTCATATTCATACCAACATTTCCACCTTAGACCACCTCATAGGCACTTCAGAAGGCCTCGACCTTACAAATAAGTAAGGTAACAATGGAGGTAGCCGTCATCACAGCAACACATTTTTTGTTGGGGGGGTTGAGACTGGGTCCGTCATGTAGCCCGGGCTACACTTAAACTCGCAGTGATCCTCTTGCCTCAGCCTTCCAAGAGCTGGGAATACAGGCCTGCACCCCAGCCCGGCCAGCAACACATCCTTGTGTACATACATACAACAATGGGATACGGATTGATGTGAACATGATACCTCTTGGGTCTGACAAGAACAGAAATACTGTGGGTTAGTGAAAAATTAAAACGTGTTAATGACTTCTACAACAGTCTATTTTATTGCATATGATATTCTGGAAAGTACTAGTGCATAAATGGCATGTGGGGTAACAAATTATTAACACGATAATCACCACTGCCTGACTCATTAGCAGAGTCATCACACTGGTCTAACAAGGTGACTTTGGTAGCAACTGGTACATCACTAGGTTGGGCTTATTAACAACCATGAGTTCCTTTCAGTCCTTAAAACAAAAAACAAGATTTCTTGATAACATGAAGTGTTTAATTTGTATTCATATATTTTATATATACAAAGTGTTTTTACCTATATTCATATATATGAAATATTTATATACAGTGGGTTAGCTATTATCTCCAAAGACAAGTCATAATCTCTAGAAGAAAACGAAACCAAACTAAATCAAATTCTCAAACCTTACATGAAAAACAGAAAAAATCAGACAGACAGGAGGGACTTCCAGAGTCCTTATTGTTCTGGGTCTGAAAGGGGAATTTATTCTACTATGAGTCACCCGTAACTTGGGGAGCAAAGGCAAATAGTGCCAGGTGCCTGACACAGTCAGGGGCAAAGTACAGCAACTCCTGGGATCACCCAAGCTGCCTCGCCAGTCTCGCCAGCGTGGGCAGAGCCCTGCCTAGCAGCAGCTGTGTGTCAAGGCCGAGCCAAGACTGACGGTGAACACTCGGCAAGAGCCGTGGCCACGCGGTGCTGGGTAGATGTGTCTCACACACACTTCAGTTCTCTGTCCTGCAGGCTGTGAATGAAACTTTATTCATACTTTTCACAATGTTTGCTATTTGTCCAGCTGAATTAATCTGATTAAAGCATAACCATTTTATATTTTAATTTACCAGAAGAAAGATGAGGATTTAGACAGATTCTATTGCTCTAGTGGAATTAATCTATATATCCAACTTTTCTGGACATAAGTAATCTGCCCAGAGTTGGTGGTATATGAAAATATTGATTTTACGTACATTTTTTTCTTATTTAGTTAAAGATTCACACACCACTGAACAGGAGGCTGAAGTTTATTGTAGTTTGCCCAAGAATTGAATGCTTTTCTAACATGGTCTTTGAAAAATAAATGTTCTAGAAGGCCACAAAAACTCAGCCTTGAACAAACTTGGAAAAGAAAATGTAGCTTTTACCTTTTGTGGGGTTTCACATGCCTTTAAGCAGCAGCTAACTCAAGTGCCTGGTTCTAAATCTCCATGCTCAGTTCCCATTCCACAAGTATTACCCGCTCGGGAAGATCCTCAACTCCCTGTCCTGAGACAGACATACCAGTTTTTCCATTTTCATTAACTTGACATCCTGCTGATGCAGCTTCTCATTCTTGATCTCTAGAACAGCTTTCAGGCTTTCTAGTTCTTGCTCCAGATACATGATCTGAGGGTTTTTCTGGAAAGAACACAGGAAGGAATTACTCTTATTCACAAAATCCCATAGTGCAAATTCTTAATATAAAGAATTGTTTATTGTATTTAGACATCAGATGACTAGCACGGAATTTCCTTTCTCTTAACAGTAATTTCAAAGAAGGATGAGAAAAAAGAACTAAGGTCATTTTAATTTCAAATCATTTGGTTATAATATTGAAAACAAAAATATTCGTATCAGTAATATGGAAAAATATTTGTTGCATCAAATGTTACAGAAACAGTAAGGGAACCACCGCTTTCAGTGCAGGAAGAGAGCCCTGACTGGAGTCTAAGCATTCACAGCGTGTTTGCAGGGACAGAGGGGAACCACGGTTCTAAGCAAAGCCAGAACCCGATCAGAAAGGCAACAGCACTACACTTACAGAGCTCTCTCAAAAACAACCAAAATAGTAATCAGGTCTTGAGTCTGATTCTTTTTCATGATAGTGCTATATCAACTTAGCCATATTACTGAAAGGTTCTTGCCCTAGTGTAAATTATTGCACAGTTAACGGGGATGGTCTAACATGACAGAAGGCCAAAGCAGGAATGCTTGCCCTGACAGCCACTCCCTCCTTCTTCCCCTTTGGCCCAAATTGTTACTTTCCTGTTTGCCCACAAACAAAATTCCGATCAGTTCCTCGCACAGCATCCATGCCCACCCCATGTGCCACTTCGGATCAGAGGCCTCTGCCGCTCTGCATCCAGCTGGAACCCCCTCAGGTTGCGGCCTCCTCTCCTCCCCAAATCCTCAGATAAATGGCCACTTTCACTCTCCTCTTCCTTCTGCTTCTCTATTGCACCAGAAAACTCTTAACAATTACTAGGGCAGTCATAACACTATCATTTTATATTGTGACACCCCAACAAAAAATGATAGTGTTACATGTCACATAGCACATGCTCTCTACTATGATTCTTCCCAAAGTGAACTCTTGTGAAGAGAGGTATCCACCTCGCTCCTGGATGGAAATTCAACTGAACCATCGAAAGTTTGATACAAATTAACAGTATGAGATCTACTGCTAAGTTGTTTAATGAGGGAATTTCTTAGATAAGATTCAGTGATGTGGATATCAAAACTACCCTTCTGGGCAGTGGATTCCATTTTGGACCAATTCTTTGGGAGAACCCAAACTCCTTTACTTAAAGAAAGATAGAACATGCCCACAGGTTAAACGATTACCCAGGAAAGGTACCATAGCCAGAAAGGGTCAGGACAGGGACTAACATTCAGATTATCATTTCTGAGCCTTACAAACGTTTTGTATTTTTACATAGATGTGCAGAAAATAACAAACCTTACTTTATTTTTGTTGGAGAGAAACCACATGATTTCCACTGTCCATTTGTAAACAAGAGTACTGACATTCTGTACTTCTGGCATGTCTGTCTTTTCTGTCTCGGTCTCTTTCTGATTTTGCTCCCCTGTGCTCTTTTTCTACAATCTTCAATGCTGAGAAGGGCAGGGCACTGGGTGTTCCTGCATCATCTATTTCCTCCTTAGCTTTTCAAAACTGGCTGCAGTAGAAGAACCTGAATTCCAGGAAGCTCTTAACCTATTCCCTGAAACTTTAGCAAGGTCTACACTTAGTATGTAAGTCTAGGTTTCTTTTTAAATCACTGACTTTTGCTAAGATTCTTCTAGAATAAAGAATTTTGAAACTTCCTTGAACATGCTCTCAGCTAGTTTTATCCAATGTCTAGAGGGTTGTTTGAGCTGATTATAAGAGGGTCTCACTAAGAGTTCCACAGAACAGATTTTAAGTGTCCAAAATACTTTGGTTCTGCAGTTCCAGAGCACAAATATATGGAATGAAACGGTGATCTTAAAGACTAAACAGGAAGAAATATACGCCCAATAAAAAAAAGGGCAAGAATAAGGGTACAGGTCATAAGCAAAAGCTGAGTTTACAAGAAAAATCTGTATTTTGCCAAAGAGATCATTATCCACATGGGGACAGAGTAGTGATCCATAAAGAGGAATAATGTCCTGGGATGTGCCACCACATGGATAAACCTTGAGGACATTATCTTAAGTGAAGGAGATAATCACGAAAGGCCACGTGTTACACAATCTTCTTCATGAAATGTCCAGAATAAGCAAATCCATAGAGAAAGAATGTAGACAAGTGGTTGTTTCGTGTTGAGATACCGGGTATAGGGAGCATGCTAATGAATTGAGGTTTCTTTTGGGGATGATAAAAGTGTTCTAGAATTAAAATGCTAGCAACCAATGCACAATTTTAAGAATATATTAAAACCCACTGAATTGTACCTAGTTTTTGTACATGTTTTTTTTTCTTTTAAACAGGGTCTCGCAAGGTAGTCCAGGCTGGCCTTGAACTCACAATGTAGTCCAGGTCAGTCTTGAACTCATGATAACTCTCCGGCCTCAGCCCCTTAAGTTCTGGGATTATGGTTGTGTACCTTCTGGATTAAATTGTGTATTTTAAGAGAGTGAACCTTCTGATATGCAAATTCTATCACAATTTAGTAGTTACTAACAAAAATAAAGTCTTTGCATAGAAGATGACAGTTTTCTTCTTTTCCTATAGGTATTCACTTAGACCAATCAAAATATATTGGATTTCATCTGTAAGTCAGTTCTTATGATGTAAAAAGAGACACCGGTGAACAGAGAAGTTATCTTAACTAGTTAAATACACACAAAATCAGACCCTCCCCTCCGAAATTCAAAGACTCAATCCAAAAATGGGCATCTCAGATGAATACACACTTCTCAGATGAAGAAATACAAATTACAAATACATGAAAAAATATTCAACATCTCTGGTCATTTGAGATACAAATTAAAACAACACTGAGATTCCATCTTATCCCAGAAAAAAATGGCTAACATAAAAAATGAACCGATAACAAATGCTGACAGGAGTGTGGGGGGAACCCTTCCACACTGCTGGTGGGAGTGTAGACTGGTGAAGCCACTGTGGAAATCAGTGTGGAGTTTCTTTTAAAGAGTAGGATTAGAGGTCCTGTTTGACCTAGGTCTTCCCCTCCTGGATACCTTCCCAGAAGAATTAAAAACACCACACCATAGCAATATATGTGCACCCATGTTTGTAATAACTAAATCTTATAAACAACACAATCTGTAATAACTATATCTTGTAAACAACCCAAATGCCCATTGAGGAATGGATAAAAAATATTTGATCTTTTTTATATAATGGAGTACTACTCAGCTATAAAGAAGGAAAAACTGGAAACTTTTCTAGGTAAATGGATGAAACCTGAGACCAAACTCATAAGTAAAACAAATTAGATGTGCATGTATCAACATTGTATTTTTTCACTTGTGTGAGCAACTGAATGAGTAAATAAGGCCCAAAATGTACAACAGACACTGCAAATTGAGAAGAACCTGTCGAAAAGAAAAGACTAACTGTGATGAAGAAAAGGGGAAAGGAAAAAATATATTTATACACAAAATAGTTAAGATAGTTGTACAGCTAATTGCTCTTAGTTCATTGAAAAGAAAGATTTGTGCTAATATTGTTTGGACAAGATGTCTACACCTTGTGCTCTGAATCACTACTATGAAGACAACAGGCAATGTATTAATTACTGTAACTCTCTACTAACCTGTTGGGAAACTTTTTGCTATTTTAATTTTTTTTGTCTTTAAAATAAAATACACACACGCATAGGACTGCAAACTCCAAGCCTGTTTTATTTCTCTGGTTGCAGAAATTTAATTAACTCCTAAAGGCAACTAAGCAGAAGAAAAAATATCAACTATGATAAATGAGAACAAAACTTACTAAGTTTGCCTTCTCTCTTGATATTCTTTTTTGTTCTTCTGATTTCAGTTTTTCATTTAAAGCATCATTTTCACTCTTCAGGTCACTGATTTGTTTCTAAAACACAATGACATGTGAGACATGTAAGTTAACAAGAAGATACCAAGGACAGAACAGAGAGACACAGAAACATATACCAATACCACACAGACATCAAGAAAGGAGATTTGGGGAGTGGTGTTTACATTCACCCACCTCCAGTGATGACTGCTTTTCAGAAAGTAAATTTTCAAGTGATTTCTTTTCCATTTCATGGCTTTTCTTGATTTCTGGAAAGAAGGGATTTTTTTAAAAGGTAATACTATTCAGTGAGATCACTGTATTCCACCATTACTGGAGGATATACATGTAGGGTTGATTATAAAGTTATGACTGTGTTACTTTACATTTGTCTGATGCTTCTATATAAATCGAGCAATTTCTTCTCAGAATAGGCTTTTGCAGTGAGTTGGGTGGAGGTTCCTGTCTTATGAGTGGGTATGCTGAGGCCCACAGAGGCCAAGAGACCTTAGCAAACAGAACGAAGGTCAGGGTCTCAAGAAACCGGCCTCAGACTCATGGACTGAGCCCCTACACTCTTCAGTTCGTACTTCTTGAACCAAACAGAAGACTGAAATTCAGTACACGCCTAGTGAGAAGGCAAAACAGTGTTTACTAATGTCTACCTTGAGCCAGTCACCAGGTACTTTATATCTCACCATCTACGACAGCACACAGCTGTATTTTCCTGGTGGGTCCTGAGAACAGCCCGCCAGCCAGTTCCTACTACACACCCACAGGCAGCTGCTTTAGTGTAAAGGACCGCAGCTGCACCGCTCAGGTCTGGCAGAACAGCTTCCTGTTTTTCCCTTTCCACTCCAGGCTTCCCGGCAATGAGAGGTGAGATGCTAACACAGGTTTGTTCTTTATCCAGTGAGTGCCGTCTGCATTTCGCGGCAGTGCTGGTGCCAAGAGTGCCCAGTGTGGATCCTTTATGTAGCCGGGATTTAAAATGTCATCTTCAACTTCCCGGGAACTAAAATAGCAACCTCCATCTACCACCGCCACCAAAAAGCCCTTTTGAATCCTTTTTTCCTAAGAGATTTACATTTATAACAAACTATTATTTGACTGCTTGGCAGCAAACGGCACCCATTAACAATGAACAATGCAAAAAGAAACCAAAACATGCCAAACGAATGCCACAGGGCATTCTCTGAAGGGAAAAGTCATGAATCATTTCCATCTTAACAAATATCCAGCTTTTCCATTGTATCATTCTATGTTTAAATAGCAAGAAAGGATGCTTGCCTGAAAGGGAAGTTTCATAGGCTTGCTTTAGCAATTCTATTTTCTCCGAGTGGCTAGCTTCAATTTCCAACTTAGAAGTTTCATGGGCAGCACTTAAGTTGTCAAACTATAAGAAACAAACAATAGGAAACAACACAAAATTCCAAGTTGAATAAACGAGCAGCAACATTTAGGAGGCTTTACATACAAGCATATGCTTGAGTCCATGCGTTACCTAACATGTAAACCACAGTCCAACGTGGAGTGGCCCCTGCCAACTCTCCAGCTGTCCTCCCCAGGAGCACAGAGCGCCCCTCTGCAGGTGTCACTGATGGCAGCGGGTGAGTCCATTACAAGGAGAGAGGATGTGTCTCACAGTGACAGGGCCATGTAAGCCCCATGCCTGTCACACTGTCCACTATAACCTCAGCCCCGTCACATGCAGTACTATGTGATAGCACTAAATAGTGGCCCTCTCTAAATTTTCACTAAATGAAAAACTAAGCTGGGAAATTAAAAGTTTACAGCATAAGTAGCCAGTGTATGTGTGTGTGTGTGGGGGGGGTGGAAGTTATTTTAAAAGTGCCATTTTTTATTGATGAAATGCAAACCAATGGTTTATAGTAGCATAATATCCAGATACTTCCACAGGCATTATTTCTGAACAGGGGCATTAAGGATAGTCTTAAATTTTATCTTTTCAAGTCAACATATGGACAGCATTCTGAGCACAAGAAAAAATTTCAACTAAAACTTTCCCCCCTACTAAAGGACTAAGAAAAACTCATCAAAAATGTGAACAGCAATCAGAATTCAAGTCAGCAGCCCTGAAGAGAACACGCTCCTGTCCCTAAGGCACCCACCTGCTCCTGCAATTGAGCTTTATACTTCTCTGCTTCTTCTATGTAAATGTTCTGAAGCTTTTCACACTCCCCAGTGTAAAATTCCTTAAGCCGACTCTCCAGTTCTGTTTGATCAGTCTGGTGCTGCTGGTTTAGCTTCTGGACAAATGCTTCATATGCTGTTTGCAACTCATTCCTGGCTTTTTCTAATTTCTCACAGGTGGTTGAAGCAGCAACTAAAAGGAGATGAAAAAGGAAAGGGAAGATGACACTGAGTTTGTTCAATGTCCTAATTCCACACTATTCATACACAGCTATGTATTAGAGTTGTAAATACAGTAATGTCTCAGTTCTCAGTGATCAGGGCTATCATTTGGCTTGTAAATGTTCCCCAAAGCCCCAGTGATTAATGCTTGATCATCAGCCCATGATGCTAATGGGAAGTGTAGAATCTTTAAGAGGTGGGCCTAGTAGAGGATCTTATGTCATTCAAACATATTTGGAGGGGGCTATAACCCCTAATTTCTTTTCATTTCAATCTATGAAGTAGACAGTTTGCTCTACCTATGTGTTCCCTCCTTGCCATGATGAGCCACTCATCAATAGGCCCAATGATTCAATAGGCCCAAGGCAATGGGGTCAACTGATCATGAGCAGGAACCACCAAAACTGTGAGCCAAGATAACCCTTTTCTTCTTATAAGCTAGTTGTATCAGGTATTTCGTTATAGTAACACAAAACTGACACGACATGAATTTCACATATAGTAACACAGAAGTAGATTGTAAATGGAACACGAAGAAACAGTCACTGGCAGTAATCATAAAGCATAAAATTATAAAACACCCAAAGAAAACCCCTGCCTACTAAGCAGTAAAAAAATTACTCAGGAAGAGCTGAGTTTCCCATGTGAAGGTCACCCTTTTACACTGTGCACGGTCAATGTAGTGGCCACAAAAAGAAGAGCCTCAGATTGCTAGAGACATTTCTAATGAAAAGTTATACCATTTACAGCCAAGATAGATGCAGAAGGAGCAGAAATGATCAGACCAAGGACACAAATGGACTTCACACATGTATACTTTGGTGCCAGGGTTTGAACTCACAGCCTCTGCTTGCCAGGCAGTCGCTTATGCTACTGAGCTAAATCCTTGGCTTTACATGTATAATTAATTGGAACTGATTTCATCTTATTTCAAAAATATATTAATAAGACAAACTATTATAATATATTGAACATGAATCACCAGAGCATAGAAGTTTTAGGGGAAAGCTACATTTTGAAAGATCCAATATAATAGAAAAGCTAACATATTTCAAGTAGGCAAAGAAAATTTATAAACAATTTAAAATCAAAATTTCCTATTTCTTCCACACCACTGTAAAACATTGAATTACACATAACATATTGCAGAACATACAATGAGTTACATATACACCCAATACAGAAAATGCTAGAAGACCTCAAATGTCTCAGGAAACTTAACTTCAAACTCTCCCAGCACCCCTTCATCACTGTGTACATACAGATGAACAGAATCCTACTGTGGTTGCCTGGAGAAGGTATGTTCTCGATATCCCAGAGTGCCAGCAGATTAATTTAAAACAGTCACTGATAAACCTGTCAAACTAATCCTTATCTCTCTTTTGTTAAAGCATATATATTTTAGGAGTTGTGAAAGGCAAAAGATTATTTTAGGACAGAGGAGGGTAGTTCAAGTCAATAATTATTCTAAGGAATATAAAACTACTTGGTTTCTGGAATGACTTTCCTGTAATGGTATATGTTTGTTTCTTTGGGAACATGCCAAGTAGCAACAGAAGTAACTACTACAGATTGTCACAAATGATTAGTCCTTCAGAGATAAATGTTAAAATAATGACAAGAGGAATGCCTTCCCGCAAAGAGAAGCCTTAACATAAGGTAAATGCCTAAATACTGAAAGGGTGCAATAGTTTGCATGGCAAAGTCTTGCTCCCCAACATGGCACCTGGGGAGGACCCAGCCTCCTCCTTTCTCTTTTCAAATAATAAAGGAGTTTTGCTTAGTTATGCAGTCCTGCCACAAAGTGTTGCCATACTCAAAGTAAAAGGAGCAACCATAGACTAAAGTCCCTAAAACCATGAGCTAAAATAAACCATTTTTGTGTATAGGTTAATTACTTCAGGTGTTTGGTGAAGTAATAGAAAGTTGACTCAGAGGCAAAGGAATCAACATTGAACAAATAAGCAACTACTCCACGCCTGGCACGGAAGAGGGTCTCATGCCTATTATCTTGTCTAACCCTCCAGAGGGCCCGAGAAATTCTGATTCCTAAATGCGTGTGTGTAATTTTTAAATTGTATTGGTACATTTTAGGTACACATGATGGTCACACTCATCATAGGGAATTTGTACCTGTACATGATGTATCTTGCTGCTTCTTTGTTCCCCCTGCCCCTCCCTTTATCCCCTTCTCCCTCCTTATTTACAAAAGTTTTGTTTCTATTTCTCGCCTTTTTTCCCTGTCCCTCGCTTCCTGTCTCCTTCCTCTTCCCTCCCTAGGTCCCATTTCCCATGTGAACATTTTCTTCCCATTGCTTAGTATCTATTGTAGGTGTTGGTCGTTTTCTACACTTTCAGTTTCTCACACCAGAAAAACAAAGAAGCATTTAAACATCTGTGTCTGATTTACTTCACTTAAGAGTATGGTCTCAAGGTGCATCTATTTAGCTAGAAATGTCTCAAGCTTATCATTCTTTTTGGCAGATTAGTGTGTACACACACACACACACACACATCACATCTTCTTTATCCAGTTCATCCATTGATGGGCATTTAGGCTGCTTCCAGGATTCAGCTATTATAAACTGTGCCACTATAAACATGGGTGTGCATATATTTCTGTGATATGATGCTTTTAATTTTTGGGGGGGGGAGACACCAACAAGGGGAATAGCTGGGTCAAATGGGGCCTCTAGTTTTAGGTTTTTGAGAAATACCCACACAATTCCCACAGTGGTTATACCAGTCTACACTCCCACCACCAGTGGAGAAGGGTTCCTTTTTCTCCATAGCCCCATCAGCATTTGTTAGTGGTTGATTTGTTGACAACAGTCAGTATCTTTCTAGAGTGAGACGGAATCTCAGCATTGTTTTAATTTGCTCTCAAATGTCTAGCGATGTTGAACATTTGTTCATATATTTGTCATTTCTACATTTTCATGAGAAGTATCTATCCATTTCAGATCCCGAATTTTGGAATGGATCTTTAAATTTGAGTGGACTGATTTTTTAAAATTCTTTTTATATTCTAAATATTAATCCTTTGAAGAACAGTTGGAAAAAGTTTTTTTCCACATTGTGGTTGTCTCTTCACTCTGCTGGTGGTTTCTCTTGTGATATCTCCTGCGCAATCGGGGTTTTTTTCATAAAGTATTTGCTTATACATATGTCTTCACGAGCTCTATCCATTCTATCATCCAGCTGATCTAGTGTTTCTGTTTTAATATTTAGATCTTTGATCCATTTGAATTTTAGTTTAGTGCACAGTGAGGGACATGGTTTAGTCTTTGGCATGTGGAAAGCCAGTTTTTCCAGCCCATTTATTAAAGAGGTTACCTGTCTTCCAGTGAAGATGTTTGGCTCCTTTGTCCAAGACAAGGTGGCTGAGAGTTTGGAATTGTTTCTGTGTCTTCTAATCTGATCCACTGATCCTCAGAGAAGGTAAACAATTTGCCCACAGGCAGAGCTAGTAGACAGCAGAGGCCTGGATTTTGGTAAGCGGTTTGCACTCCACTGCTGTCGTTACATGACCCACGTGCTGCCTTCTATGCCAAGGCTGATGAGGCACATGGGGGACTTCTCACCTGCAGACTCACTGTCTAACTGAGCCGACAGAGACACAGGAGAACCAGCAGCACTGGGCCCCAGAAGGGCACCCAAGGAAGTTTACATCTTTGGTCATGTTTCTGGTTTTCAAAAGCACTGTTTTGCAACACTGACCTAACCTAAAACTTACTGGTCTTAATACTTTTAATTGTACAATTCAGTGGCACTGAGTACAGTTATACCATTGTGCAACCATCACCATCACCCATTTCCAGAACTTTTACTCTCAAATTCTCCCAGCTTAAACACTGTATCCATTATCTCCCTGCCGTCCCCCACCCCCAGCCTCTATCAACCATTACTTAACTTTCATCCTCTATGGATCTGACATTTCTGGGAAGCTCACATAACTGGAATTACACAGTACTGGCCTTTTTTTTTCTTTCTGGCATGGCTTACTTAACTTAGCACAATGTCTTCAAGGTTCATCCATATGTCAGGATCCCTACCTTTTTAAGGCTCAATCAGATTTTTCTGTACATATATATAACATTGTAAAATGTATTTATCTGTTAAAACTTCATTATTTGGCCATTGGGAATAACACTGGTATGACTGTGGAAGTACAAATATCTGCTTGAATCCCTGCTTCTGATTCTTTTTTATATATATCAGCAGAATTCTTGGATCATATAGTAAATTCTGTTTTTAATTATTTGAGGGGCCACCACATTCTTGCATAGTGGCTGCACCATGTAATAATAAGGGTGGGTGCAAGCCTCATCAAAGCATGCATATATTTTTTTTCAAATATATATATTTATTAGTCATTCTAATGGGTGTGGGGTGGTATATTTCTGTGGTTTGGATTAGGCTAGCAGACTGTTAAATGAGTCATGTGATATAAGCAACATTATGAAAAGGTAATCAAGGCTTTTATAGGTAAATGGAGGCAACTTGTGACTATTCTCATAAGTGAAATGAATCAAACTGACATTTATAAATATCATATTGTCTCCCTAGAGTAAAAAACAAATAGAAAACTCACAGAGTAACAAGATCCAAAGTGTACAATAGATGTAATAATGAAAGGGAAAGAAAGTGCTCAAAAGGACAGAACTGGGATGGGGAAAGGAGAAAAGGAACAAAGGGAAAGATCGTATGTATGTAGGTATGCACATATAACTATGCGTATGTGTGCAAGACAGATAACTCTACTAGTAATCTCTGTTAGTTCATCAAAAAGAACAGTTTGCGCTGGCAGGGTTTGATCTTATTTTTTTATCAGTACCAGGGATCAAACTCACGACCGCCTGCTTGCAAGGCAGGTGCTTATGCGGCTGAGCTAAATCCCCAGCCCTAGATCATTTTTTTATGCCTAGACCTTGAACCTAAACAACTACTTCTAAAATAACAATATGCAAT